AGCCCTTTTTTCTCTAAATCACTCTGTGTTTGTGCAAAATTCCTCCTAAATACCTGCAGATCTCACACTGCTGATTTAATCAACCTAGGAAGCACAAATATATCTAACTATATACATATATGGCTATCTGCAGATACCTATATTTACACAGATTGCAGATATAGATACAGGGAAGAGGGGAAAGCACAACTAGATATCTATATAGATATAGGTGGATGTAGACAGATGTAGATATCTAGATTTGTTTCCCCCTCTTCCCTGCATCATGTAGAACTGAACAGAGATGAAAAAAACCTCTTGGTTATGCCAATTCTCCCCCCTCCTCTCCTCCCTATGACATGCTGAGGAAATTGTACTCGGGTTTCTAGGACTGGTTTTCTCTGCCCCATTGTGCAAGAAAAAAAGTGATTATTTTTAATGTGGGCAAGAAAGAAGCATTTTTTCCCTTCTCCTTTTCCCAATTGATTCTGCTGCAGGAGGGATCTTGCTTTATTGTGTGAGTGAGGAACATGGGGCCAGATTCACACGTGGATAACTCTTACTGACGATGCTGAAGTTGCATCAGGGATGGATTTGACCCATGATCTGTTATTTTTTGCCTTAACTGCAGAACCTCAGTCATTACACCTGGTTAGACTAGAGACTTAACAACCTGTGTGGCCTCAGCATTTCCTTTTATGAATCATCCCTTGTCTCATATAAAGAAATCCAAGACAAGCTGAGCACGGCTGGTTAGTTTGATGGCAATCGCACACTTGGCCCACCTCAGGGCTGTGTGTCTAACCCTTTCCAGGAGCTGGGAAAATATTCTCAGCTTAAAACATCCCATTCAATGCTCCCTTTAAAACAGGAACTAGAATATTCACTGCATTTACTGTAGGGAAAGGTGCTGGAATGAAACTACTGGAGACTGAAGTCGTGCACATACAGAAGTGGTGCCGCCGCTCCTGGCTGCCTCGTTAATGTCTTACCCTGCTTTCCACCCCAAGGAACAAGAGGGAAAGTTAGGATCTACAGCCAGTCAGCCTTAAAGCAGTAAAGTCAGAAGCAGTGGTGGGTTTTCACATGGTTGGTTGACATGCAAATGTCCCTAGATCTGCTAATATTTTGGAGATGCCTCTGAATGATCCCTGTCTGAAAGACATCTCCCAAATCTCCCAAGTGTTTTCTCATGGTAAGGCACAAACTCCCCCAGGAGTGGATATGGACTAGTAATGGAGTTAAAAAGCTTATTTCATAGCACTCCTGGAAAATCTGAATGGGCAGCTGGGAGGGAAGGTGAGGAAACATGGAGTCTTTCAGTTTCTTCAGGCTTTCTCTTCAAATTGGTTGGAGTCCTCAAGCCTCGCACCACTTGATGCCTTAAGCTGAGTCACCCTGAGAAACCGCTTATGGGATAAACAAATGCTGTACACACTGAAAAGCCGATTTAAACGCAGAGCTTCAGAAAGATGCTGAGTATTTTTTGTTTTGTTTTTGCTTTGCTGTTTTGCTTTTGAGTCAGAGGAAATGATTAGCTCCTCAAATTTCCCCAGTACTCAGGAATGTGAGCTACTCAGAGGATGAGGCCACCTTGAAGGACAGGATGCAGACAGCTTGGAAGCCTCATGTTTGGCTTTTCTCATGTGCTGATCATTTGAATGGGTAAAATATGGCCTCACACACACACAGAGAGTGTTCCACAACCAGCCCATTTCCTCAGCTTGCTGCTTGCCCTGGATCTTCATTTACCCAGACAGCCTGAAGGATGGATGTTAATGTGATTATATTTTCATGTCCTTTCCTGGCTGCCAGAGGTTCCTCATCTACTTGAGCGATGCAATTTGCCTTTTGGCTCAAGGTTTGCCCTCACAGTTGTCTTCTCCTGCCTTTTGGCTTATGTGTGTGTAAATGGGTCCAAATGGGGCTTGGGAGCTCTGCTGTGTGCTGCTGTCACAGAGGGAAGGGAATGTCATATCCAGGCAGCAGCACTCTCAGTTTTAGGCAGGCTGCCTGGCAAAAACCCTCTTTAGGCAGTACCTGCATCCCCAGGGGACCTGGCAGCCCACCCTGGGCTGGGAGTGGTGCCATTGGAGCACATGGATATGGGAGGCCAAGCAAGAGCATCCAAGGGGTTTGCTGAAAGCAGGGCTGGATCCAGCCTGGCAATGCTAAGATGTTTGGGCTGTCTTTGCACTCTGTTACAGAGAATGTCAGCCCTCCTCAGACACCAGACGAGATGTTCTTGGCTGAAGAAATTAAAATTTCCTGGTGGAACAAGAGTTACGTCTAAAATTTATTATGAAAAATAAAGTCCAGGCTGTTCTAAAAGTGCCTCTGTGAAAAAAAGCAAAAGATGATTCCACATAATAGATAAATTTCTATTTGTTTAATATTAGAGTTAGCAGATATTTGCAGGGGAGGAGGCCTCTCTTGATGAGAGCAGCATTTTCCAGGTGCTACTTCTATTTCTTCCTTCTGTTGTTCCCAGGAGTGGGATCCTTGATCCATTCAAGCTTTTTACTCACTGTTTTTTGCACTTGTAACTCACATGGGAAGATTCTGACCTCATACAGTGCTTTTACGTCTCATAGTATCACTGAACTCAACAGGATTCCTCTCCATTTACACTTTAATGAGCAAAGGAATTATTACCATTTTATCTTTGAGAAGGGAAAAATGGCAAGTGTCTGATTTAGTAATGGTTTGACTGTCTAAGAGAGGATAGCAAAGAAAATTGCTCTGAGGTCCCAAGAATAAAAGCACTGTGGAAAGTCAGAGTAGAACTTACCTTACTGGAGGAGTAAACTGAGGCACAGAACAATCAAAATGATGCAACAAAGTCTGTGCCTGCCAATGCCCCCAGTAAGGACCAATAGAAGGTGGTGCCTTCCATGGCTTCAATCAGTGGGAACTGGTCCAAGAAGACTAGTACAAAAACGAAGGATGAAATACTTTGAAGGAAAACTGCACGAGACTGAGCAAATACAGTTATGCCAGTGTTTGTTTTGGAAACAGAGTGTATGCTCAGGTGAGAAAGTGTCCCGACTTGCAGCATATTTTAGCTTGCCTGTATACAGAGCTCCTCTGGGCTTTGCACAATAATCACTTTCCCCCTTTTGGAGAAGAATGACAAACCATCCATTTGATACATGACAAAAGTGAAGGAAACAGAGGCCAAACACGAACTTAGCAGAACAATCTGCCATAACAATCAATCACTATTTTCCTTTTATTTGGAAGGTAATTAAGTGCTACAGCTCAGGTTTCCTGACCTGTGAAAATTAGATATTTATCATTTTGACTACAATTCTAATGCATTCACACAGTCTTCAAAATGTTCTAACTTATTGCTTTGACCAAATCCATGTCAACATAACACCTGGCTCTAAATGTTCTCTCTGGAAATATTCTCACAGTCCAGTAATACAGGAATCCTGCTCTTCTTCATGACTGGTCTCTGTCTTAAGAAGAAGCTGATTATATCCTGCAGGCCAACTATTGAGATTTTGGACAGACAGTTTCACTTTTTTTCACCTGCTGCCTCTTGGACAGGGTAGAGTCACCTCTGGAACCATTCTTTTGCTCTCCTTCATGTTCCTTTTTGATACGAGGAAAGGAGTAGGGATATCAGTGGGATTCTCAGAAAAAACAAATGCAGTTGTTGCAAACTGCAGAGCTGATGTTACAGGAGGAGGAAGACGAGGACAACATAAAAGCTTCACTTCCCACCCAACCTGCATAAACCCAGCTGAATACCTGCAACTAAATTGCCTGAGTTCTCACACTTCTTGCTTGAATTCTATTTTTTATTTCTTTTTCCCCAGGAGTTTCTAGAAGCCTGAAGAACATTTCTCCATATTTGTCTCAGTTCTGTTTATATTTATTCCTTCCTCCTGTGCTTTGGTTCAAATTCATCTTGACTCCAAGGGATTCTGAGAAAAAGTTACTTAGAAAGCAGAACCTAAGTGCTGTAAGTGGTCTTCAGGATATCCAACTCCATTTTAGTTTTCAGGAGCATATTCTTCATTCTGGAGAATTTTACCCTTGGTTGAGGCTATCATGTCCTGATTTTCTAACCTGTTAATTCTAACTCAGAAAGCTCTTCAAGCCTCTCTTATCCCTTGCTTTCTCTGGGCATCTTTTCTCATAGATACCTTCCATCACATCCCCAGGAGTCATCATTCCACCCCCTCAGGATGAGAGATTTTTCCATGGAGCTTATTCTCTTTCTCCTGCATTCAGATGCTCTCTGCCAAATCTCTCACCCCAAGGACTTTGCTTTTACTGCTCAGAAGCCTCATCTGATCACACAGCAAAGGCACCTACTGAAGTGCTCTTGCTAGAAAACAAGAGAAAGGCAGCTGATGGTGCAGGAGATGATGTGGAGCCCGGTACACCTCCACACATCCAGGAAATAAATATTGCAGGATGTGCTGCTTTAACCTTTTGCTATTCAGGCACTGAGCTGGAGAATCAGTTCTTCCCTTTTGTATCTGCTGATGGGACTGGATCTGTGCCCGTGCACATGACAAATATCCCTCTCAGTGCTGGCCACTGCTTTATGCGTCTTTGGATTTGCAGCAACTTGGCAACGGTCCCATTTCTCAGCACAGGACTCTTTCCAATTTGAAATAATTTTTTTTTTCCTAGGACAAAATTGAAAACCCACACGGCCAAACTTCTTCCTCAGTTTGGGAAAATCGATACCAGTTATCCACTAGGTGACACTGTTTACCTACAGATCTTGTTCGATTTGTGTGAAAACCCACAAATCTTACAAAAGTAGCATACAATATGTTTTGCTCTTAAAGAAAAAGGAGGCTGGTTGCAGAGGAGAAGGAAAATGGGTTGTCAGTGAAGTATAATTAAGTAAAAACCTACAGTTGTGAGACTTTATGTTCTAGTTTCAAACTATTTACTAAAATGCATTTTAAAAGTTGCTTTTTATCAGCCCCATTTCAAAGCCGTAGGCAATTGTTTTATTTGAAGAAAGAAAAAACTGAAAGGCAGGCACTCACCATCAACACAAATCTCAGTCTGGCTCAGATTTTGTCTTGGAGAACAGTGTGGACAGAATTGCTTGGTAACAGAGCCAGGGAGGAAGAAGAAAACAGAAGAATTTCTGCAATCTCATCTGAGGAGAGCTTAGTGGAAAGCTGTTTTCCAACCTTGCAAACATTTCAGAAATTTGCATTTTCTTCCCAGTCTTAAATAGGACCAGAATTGGTAATCTCAATTTCTGAAGATTGGGGTGTCTGAAAGAAACAAAAACTGGTTAGATGCTGATTTATTTCATGCTTAAATATTATTTTATCCTTTAAGTATTTTTTCCTGTGGAATCAAGTGTTTCTCTCTGAAAAAGAATATATTTCATTATGAAATGCTGATCAAGTAAAAATGTTTAAAACTGAAAAATGATGTAGGTCAAAATCAAGAGCTTCCTACAAGAGGTATCAGCTTTTAATTAATATTTTTTAATTAGAAAAATACAAATCTGCTTCTGCACAATGCTTAGCTCAATGTAGAAATGATGTGATTGGTGAAGTCTGTGCTAGACTTAACTGTGATCTGGGAATCACACTTGCAAGGAAGCCAGATGAATCTGTTTGAATTGGGCATGCATTTTGGAAAAACTGTGGAGAATTCTGTCTTCTTTCTTCTGTTTTGGGCTGCTGACAGGCCAAAAGAAACACCTCTCATCTGCAGCCTTTAAGTTGGTCTTTCAGAAACACTGACTACCTGCAAGTGTCCAGGGAGGTATACGAGAGCAATGGGTGTCCAGGATCTCTAGGAACAAGCCAGACACCTCCAAAGAGCAGGGAGGATTGCATGGGAACATTCCAACTTCGTGCTCTCCCACTGTGAGTCAGCCTTTTTTTTTTTTGGTAACCACAGCCCATAAGAAGCTTATGGCCTAGTTCGTGTTTAAACATGGCCAGAGATCATCTTAAATTCCAGCTGTCTAGCCACATTCAAATATGGGATTTGGCCACAGCTCCAAGTACTCTCACAAAATACGGTTTTGGGGAGCATTTCTGTATGATACTGTTCACACCTGTATAGGAAAATCTTCTTTTCCTTATCATTTGGGCTATTGGGTATTTCCCTCTTTGGTTCTGAAGGAAACAAGTAGCTAAATTAAAGTTGGGAGTAGCTAAACTAAAGTTAGGGGTTTATTTTCTGAAGCCCTCTTCTTCATGTGCCCTCATCAGATCCTCCCCCTTGAAACCCCAAGGTGCCCAGCCTTGGCTAAACTCCAGCGGGGCAGAGCATCAAGTCTCTGGGATGAAAACCCACTTTCCCACAGTGCTTTCAGCACACTCTGGTACCTATTACAGCCAGGAGATTGTCCACATGCCCCAGCCAAAGCATTGGTTCTTCATTTCTCATTGCTCACACTGGAACTCAGGGGGTTTCTATATGTTTGCAGGTATCTGGAGATATTTTAGGCTGAGTGCCCCTCGTCATGGTTGGTAAAGTTTGGTCCACCAGCAGTACTGATGGAACAAGCTTTGCTCCAAAGCCCTTGTGATCAGGCATAGAAGATGGGAGGGCAACAGAGATGCAGGGATGCTCCAGGGATTCTGCCCCTGAGCCAGGAGCTGGCAGCAGAGCCGAGGTGTGTGTGAATGTCCTGCAGAGCCGGCGCTTCCGCTGCCGTCCGTGCGATTCACCCGTGTTCCAGGCACTGCCTTTTCTGAAATCCACACAGCAGAATTGATAATTGTACAAAAAGCCTTGGGGGTTGGACAAGATAATAGCAGTTTTACAAGAGCCTGGAAGACACTGAAAACTTTTATGGTGTTTTTGATGTAAAATTATTATTTTTGCCTGCTGTTCAACGCACTCGGTAGCTGCTGGCACGGTTTCAGTGGTTAGGTGGATGACATGTTATTTTTACATTTTTGAAGTGATTTTTGGGCCTGGCTCACACACACATTACATGGAGCAAAAGAGGAGCAGGGGCTGTGTTAAGAACCAGTGAAGCCTCTGATTTTTCTTGCAGTGTGGACAGAAACCCCTAATTGGACTTTTGTCTGTGTCACTCTTCCAAAATTGTTTCTACAGCATGGGGAAATGCCCAGGAGAAGGCATTGAGGTTAAGGGCCTTGATTTAAGAAGATGTGGAATGAACCAGCCCAGCAGGAGCTTCTCCCAGCAATGTTCCTTAGTCTCAAATTTGAACACGTCATGTATTTCAGCCCCGGTTGGGGCTCTCCTTCCTCGTGAGTGCTACAGACAGAAAATATTTCAAACAATGTGAAAGCTTTGTGAGGCAAAGTGGGGGGAAAAAAAAAAGGTGAAAAAGGAACTAGTTCTCCAGAGAGCTGAGTCCAGCAAATTCATTGCATTGGTGACACCATCCAGATTTGAAACTGCACCTCCAAAGGCAAAGGGCAGGAGCTAGTTTGTTTAATTTCGAATATTTGCATATCTCTTTCTCTTGCTGCATTGGTATCAGATCTGCAACAACCTATTAAAGCTTTCATTTGAATAGCCATTATATGCCTGAGAATGGAGACTGGGCTCCTTGGGGGCGCTTAGGAATAAACAAATCATTTGTGGCACATGTGTTGTTCAAGCTTCAAGCAAGGTAAATGGAAAATACAGATTATGGTGCCTCAAGTCCTCTCCATTTTCCCCACTTGTCAAACATTCCCAGATTCTTCAAAAGAAGAATCTAGCCATATTATTAGCAATAAAATGGCTTATAGCTGAAATTTTGAAAAGATTTAACAATGTTCTTTGCAGGAATTGTGTTTCTCATTACATAAATCTCCAGGCTCTCAGGCAAAGCACCACCACCACAGCAAGCCATTATGTCCTGCTGTGGTGGTGTCTCCACTTAAAAAAAGGTAAAGATTCAGGGCTTTTTGACTTTCTTGTTTTCCATTCTTATTCCATTTAAAGAAAAAAAAAACCCACCACAAACCCACAACAAACCAAACAATATATTCACCACAGAAAAGTCCCTGCAGATTCATCTGCACTGGGGCAGATTAGTCCCCATTTATACCAGTGACCCATGAAAGCCCAGGGGTGGGCTGGAAAGAGGAAATGGATGGACAGATGGGAGGACATGGAAGTTTCTGGACTACCACTGGGAGTGAGTGCAGACTCCTTCACCAGTCTGCTCTTGCCCACCTCGATGGTGCTGGACGCAGATGCAGGTTACAAGAAAACCAACACACTGTTCAACAGCAAAGCCAGGAGCAACCTCCCTTCCCTCCACTGTGCCTGCTCTTCAGAGCAACATAAAAACTGAAACCACCACTTATCTCCAGCCAGAGTGTTCCTGTTGATGCTTGTGGCCTTTCCCAGCCTGTGTGATGTGTCCTGCAGGCTTTATTCCAGCTACTGATGTCAGCAGCATTTTGACCTGGCGCCTCACTTCTGCACATGGACTGCTGAACCTGAGATGTGCCTGGGCAAAGGGAGGGTGGGGATCCTCCTTTGGGAATCAAATACTGGAAATAAAGTAAAATGAGATAAAATGAAATCTCAGCAAACAAATACTGAACTGATGCAATTAAATTTTATAATCTTCCATTGAAAAATAATCTATCAATTGCCAGGCAAATTTCTCAGGTTGATATGGCAACTGGAAACACTGGAAATTAAAAAGCTGAGCAAATGTTCTCAAAGGAGAAAAATAGTCTCGCTCCTGATCAGCAGGGATTTCCATGCTCCCTTCCTCAGCCTGCCTTCTTTTAAATTCACAACCTACAGGAACAGCAGTGTCAGGATGCTGGTTTTCTTTCCATCACCAGAGGCTGCTTCTTGGAGGTTGCAGTAACAGCTTTGGGCTTTTGTGTGATGGATCTATAGTCACAGCATAGCTCTTAGTCCCCTTTCAGCAGTGACATCCACCTGCTAGCATGGCCCCATGTCCCCACCAAACTAATGGTATTACTCTTTCAGTTAACACTGTCAGTATATGGAGGGTAGGGTGGGAAAACAGACAGAGCTCCTGGTTACCCGTATTATGACTGTATCACTTATATCCCTTCTAGTTTCAGCAAAAAGCTAGTAATGTCCAAAGAGTCCTGATGCCTCCTGCACACATCCTGTAGCATGGTTCAGTGGGAATGGGTCAGCAGCCTGCACGAAGGGAGCGGATCACACTGGGCAGGAGAGCTGCAAGCTGGCAGGTTGACTAGAAACAAAGAAATTAATGACCTGTAGGTGTCCAAGGAGTAGTTACAGGAAGAACATAAACATTATTTGCTTAGTTTGTGCACTGCCTCTCCTCCACGTTCAGCCAATTCAGTACAAAATAAGAGAATGAAATGGTTGTTAAGCACCCAAGGCTGCCACTTGGGAAGAAGAACTAAACAGAACATTCACATTTGTATGCCAGCTTCTCACTCCAGAAACATAGAGGGGTGAATTAGGATTAGGAATAATGATTAGGAAACTATCCACCCCTTAAGATAGACAAGGACAGTATTAGTCTAGTATCTGACTAATAAATTTTTTAATTTCTAACCTCTTGTTTCCAACCTCAATTTCTTAATTAGTAATCTTTAATTTACCCATAAAGGTAAAAGTGACCTGTTCTGGATATGCCAAGAAAAGTGATACAGCTGCCAGAGATACTGGGCAAAGGAAGGCAGTTCTTGCCATAAAATGCTATGGTCTGTGATGGGGACATTGCTACCTTGTGCTAAAGTTTGGGGCAGGCAGAAAGAGGTACCTGCCTTGCAAGGTGCAGATTGCAGCATCGTCTAGAGCTCTGGACAAAGCCAAAAGACACGTAATGTGTACTGTGATCACCATGGGGCTTGACTGGGGCACACAATCCCACACAGCCCAGGACGCAGGGACAGGAAGAACCTTGTTGCTCTTGGGGCAGTTTTACGCTTGGATTCTCCCTGCCAAACCTCAGAGAGCCCCGAGCTGCTTCCTGTCACAGCCTCCTTGCTGGTTAATTAGTGTCCTGGACAGGGGGCTGCCTGCTGTGACCGTGCAGCCAGGACAGCAGTGGTGCCAAACAGCTGGAGTTTGCTTCCTGGGAGGACACCTACTCAGGTGGGCAAACCCTCCTTCCCCCTTTGCTCTCTACCTTCATAAATACTGAAAGCATTTGATAACCATGTCAAAGCCTCTCAGATCAGCTGACCATATCTTCTTAAGCCATAAATCGAGTCAATTAATATTAATACTCTGAAGGGAACAAGAGAACGTTTAAGAACCCACCTCCGAAAACCAAGGGGGCAATTGGCTCTGATTTTATATTTATTTTATCTTTTCTTTAAACAAAGGGTTGCTATTCTTTTCTCTCCCCACAACGAAGCTAATAGATTTATTCATCAAGTTTTCTAAATTTAGACATCAAACTGATGTTTTTCTCCCACTGCTAATTTTATTCTTAGCAGCACTTACATAAAGGCAAGTATTGCAATATGACAAAAATACAAACCTCCTCTGACCTGGAATGTACCAGCAGGTAAAGTACAGGGGAAAGTACAGGCAACTTCTCACCCAGGCTCTCCAAAACAGCAAGTCTTGAAATAGAACTGAGTTTTTTCTTAATGCTTAATGTTTTATCTCAAGACATACATCTGACCTACCTGCCTTTGTAGTCTGGCCCTGGCCTACCAGGTTGTGCCCTCACATTGCCACAGTGGTTTGGGATGATGCTGTGTTTTGCAGGAAGGCCAGGGTTCCTGTCCTCCCTTCAGCAAGCAGCATTTTGTGTCCATATGGGGTATGTGCCTGTTCATGGGGGGCCATGTCCGTGCTCTCAGTTCTTTAGGTGTCCCTCTCCTGATTTTCTCCCAACCTGTTTCTCTGCAAGCATAGTCACACTTGGATTGAGGCTGAACTCACAAGTATGTGCCTGGAGTGTGCATTCTTGCATCTGGCCCAGTTTAGATGATTTGGGCTCAGCCAAAGCAAAAGACGCTCCAGCCCTGCACACTCCTCTGGCCTCTCCCAAGTACAGCTGGTGATCCACACTTTGGAGGCGGTGGCCAGCAGTGCACGGGAGGGAGAACACCATGGAGCACCTATGCCTCCAAGAGGTCTTCTTGCAGGGTGGGCAACCTGCAGGAAACACTTACTACAGTATCTCCCCCCACCTTTCCAATTCCCCAAGCTGATGAAGTTCAGTGTTGGCGAAAATGACACTGCCTGCCTGAACTGCTGGGCTGTCTGCTAAAGAGCCAAAAATGCTCCTGTGCACATGCCTCAGAAAAAGAGCCACAGGTACAAATTCAGATCCTGAAGTGTAGAGAGACACGGACAAGACCAAACCAGTTTTAAACCATGCTGAGCACACAAGACACTCTCACATCTAATTACCACTCGAAGAGGGCAATTTTGGGTGCTGTCATCAGCAGCGTGAACCCTCTCTGCACTGTTCCTGTCTGTGACAGCACCTGTTCCTGTACACTCTATCCCATGGCATCCTGTGTCTTTGCCTGGCATAACAAAACCCAGCCCCCAGCAAAGCTGCAGGTTTCCATAAGCTTTTGCAATGCCTGAGTCCCACACATTCCCATTGGCCCTGGTCGTGCCTCATTAGTTTGGCTTAATCAAGTGACGAGCACCGCTCGAGGCCGGGGAACTGCTGTAGTCAATGGGGTCTATTCTCCGCGGGACAGACACATGTCACACCCATTAGCGTCAATGGGAGTTACAAATGCACAGCGGAGAAAGGCCCCAATGTGTCTAACGTGCATTAGGAAGGAACAGAGGGGCCAGTTCAGCCCTGGGGTAAGAGCCTGCAGCTCGGTCATGCCTTGCAGCAGAGCCAAAATTCGACTCAGCTTCAATCCAGCCCAGTGGGATAATCACCAAAACAAAAAACAAACAAAAAAACCCACAAAAACCCCAACCAAACAAGAAACTAGTGTCACCTGGTAGGTGGTTGAGTCCTGTGTAAAATGGCCAAGCAAGCAGGCTGAGGGCCATGGCACGTGCAGCAAACAGGTGTCCAAACCACCAGCAGGCTCTCGCTGCGCCCCCGCGCTGAACAGCGTTGGGGCTCCGGTCTTCCACAGGGCAGGAACCTGTCCCCTTCCACAGCACTTCTGTGGCAGATAAAAAGCCCCCAGTCTTTAAGGTTGTGGAAATGATATTTGCCAACCAGACTAAAAGACAAAAAAAAAAAGTGGGGCAGAATGGAGACCCTGAGGACATCCTGGGGGATGGCCAAAAGGAGCAGGCTGTGTGTCAACAGCGAGTGTGAGAGAGGGGCCACCGCGTCCCCTGTGCGCACGTTCAGGGCCCATCCTTAGTGGACAAAAGAGGGATTCTTCATTGAAATCAGCTTGCCCCTGCCAAGGATCTGGCCTCGTATGAGTTGCATCTGAGCCAAAATAGTCAACTGGATCCTTGAGTTTTTCAGTGTTGGGGAGGCTTTTTACTTACCTATTTGTTCTTTCTTTTTCCATTCAAGTTGTTATTCATTCTCCTTGAGGTTTAAAATAAAATTTTAGCAAAACTTACTTAAAATTTTGAAAAGGCATTTCTTCAAATATTATCCTAACCTGGGAGTTCTCATCTTTGTCACAGGGAGAGAAGAGTGAGCCTGGGGGGTATCACGGCACATATTTCAGTGGTGTGCATAGCAGAGATGTCAGGTAGTTACACCAAATGGTTCTTAAACATTTGCTTTTCAATTTGTGCTTAAATTAATGCAACCCCATAAATATTATCATTGGACACTGTTTCACATGTTGCTGTATTACCTAGATGCAGGGCATGGTCCCCCTTGCATCTGCACCTTTCCCATGGAAATTGCTCCTAGAACTTCAGTGATGTTGGGCTTGACTTACCTTTGATGAAAGAAAAATCTAGTCCAAAATATGTAGCTCTATATCAGACTACAGGTACTTCACTGGTACTTCTAGAGTTAATAGCCATAATATATATCCTAACAAACCGCCTGTCTTTATCTTTCTCCATATGTTAATTCCCTCTAATCCTGTTATCAGTACAGGTAGTTGGACAAACAGTATGATAATAAAGCAGTATTTATAATACATGTCCTTCAGTCCAAGATTAACCATGAGATTTCCCAAGCACCTAGGGATTCGGTTTACCTACGGTGTGCAAATCACCAGTAAAAAGAAAGTATCCAGGAGAATATATTTGCTCCCACGCTGTATTGTTTACCATCCACTTTCCCCTTGATCTGTATGTGTGTCTGATCTATGCAATTTATTTATTCAAGCCCTCAATGATCGTTTAAAGCAGGGTCTAAAGACCTGGGACATTATCAACACTCTGAAGGAGTTTTCTATAAGCATCAGACATACTCATTTTCACTTTATTTCCCAAGTGCTGCCCCTTTCACCACAACCAAGAATTAAAAAAGCTATAAGAAGAAAAAAATGAAGAAGCTCTTTTCCTCATGACTGCTACAGGTGCTTACTTAGTTCTGGATAAACGCAGCCCCCTTCCCCCCCAACCCACCACCATTTTTTTTTCAATTCCTCTCAACGTGTCGTAGCTTTAT